AGAAATCAGACTGGGGGGTTTGGGGAGAAAGTACTTTAAAAGACAATACTGATGAACAACACCCAGAACAGATGAGGATGACTGAGATAGATGATAGATAGTGAGGAAGATAAAGATAAAGAAGTTGAAAAGGAGATTAATGTGTCTCCCATTAGGGAGGATAAGGTGATTCACAAAGGAAAAGAGGTGATTGTAGAGGAGGGATCTACAGACAAGGCTACTATGATCGAGGATATCACTGAAGCTGAGAAATGGCTGGCTCTTTCAGTTCACTACAACAATGAAGAAAATTAAGAGAAGGAATATGACATTCCTATAATCCAGCCTTTAAACTCTTTGCCACCTACAGATTCTGATACTTATCCAAAAGTCTCATTTGTCAGAAGATGCTCAAGATTTGTGGATATGGAACCTATGACTGCTTTGGACAGGGCCACTTCAAGAGCTGCAATGAAAAATATAAAAAATTCTACTCGAGGGGCTTCTTTTAGTGGTTCAGGTGAAAATTCCTCTTCTCTAGGATCTAATTTTGTTCCTATTCTTTTTGATGCTTATTCTAATAAGCAGTTGCAAAAAATTGCTTCTAAATGTGCTATTATACTTAAGCCTCAGGGAGATTTTGACCCTATTAAAAAAATGAGGCTGATGGAACAAGAAAGAGCTACCTCTGAGTAGATTCTAAGGTGTTTTGTGGAGTTTTGATGCTCTCAAATGTTAGTTACATGGAATGTTAGAGGTTTGGGTTTGAGCTCAAAAAGATTTGGAGTTAAGGATTTCTGCCAATTGAACAAATTTGAAATTATTTGTTTGCAAGAGACAAAAATTAGTTGTTTTACTGACAACATGTTAAAGAGTTTGGGTGGTAATGTGTTTGACTGGATATATTTACCATCTATTGGGACCTCTGGTGGAATTATGATTGGATGGGATAATAATAAATGGAAGAAAATTGATGATGCTTTGGGTAAGTTTGTCCTGACAGTGAAGTTACAAAATAAAAAAAATAGTTTTGAATGGACTATATCTTCTGTATATGGTCCTCATTGTAATACAGAGAGAGCTCTTTTTTGGCAGGAGCTTAAAGAGATTAAAAATGCATTCTTAGGTCCTTGGGTTGTGGTGGGAGACTTCAATGTAACCATTAATGCTGCAGAAAGAAAAGGAAGAACAAATTATAGAAAAGAAATGGAAGAGTTTAAGGAAGTTATAAATGACTTGGAATTAATTGATAGTCCTTTACATGGAAGAAAATTTACTTGGACAAATAAGAGGAGTTCAACTGCTATGGCTAGACTTGACAGAGTTTTTTTCAACTCTGAGTGGGAAGATGTTTTTCCTTTATCAAGACAACAAGGCCTTAGTAGTCAATTATCAGATCATTCTCCTATTTGCTTTGATTTTGGAGATAATCAACAGCAAGTTAAAATGTTCAGGTTTGAAAAAATATGGCTGCAATCTGATGATTTTATGAAAAATGTTCCAATTTGGTGGAAGTGTGCTCCCAGGAATGATTCAGCTGCTAAAAAAATTGTTGGTAAATTGAGATTTATGAGAAAATGTATCAAACAATGGGTACATTCAAAATTTTATAGTGTCAAACAAAAAAAAAGAATTGTTGGATAATCTCTTAGAATGGGAAGTTATTGAAGAAGATAGAGATTTAGAGGATGATGAGTTGATTAGAAAAAATGACATTTCTCTACAATTAAATGAGATTCTTATCCAAGAAGAACAAATGTGGAAGCAAAGATCCAAAGCTCACTGGCTTAAGGAAGGAGATAATAATACAACATATTTTCATAAAATTGCAAATGGAAGGAAGAGGAACAATTTGATTTCCTCGGTTTTTCATAATGATGTAGAAGTGACTTCAGAAAATGGGATTGCACAGATTTTTTCAAGTCATTATAAACAGATTTTTGGTCAAAATGTGACTAATAGATGCCAATTGGATTGGAACTGTTTATTCCCTACAGTTGACTGGGGGCCTAATGACATTGAAATTCCTTTTTCTGAAGAGGAAGTCCATAAAGCTATTTTTGATATGAATGGAGATAAATCCCCTGGTCCTGATGGGTTTTCTGCTTTGTTTTTCCAAGTCTTTTGGGAGAATGTGAAACTAGATATTATGAGGCTTTTTGAGGAGTTTTATGAAGGAAAACTTGAAATTAATAGAATCAATTATGCCCATATTGTTCTTATTCAAAAAAAATGAAGCTAGTACAGTCAATGATTACAGGCCTATTAGTCTTTTAAATGTGGTTTACAAGATTATTACTAAGGTCTTGACCAATAGACTGAATACAAAGCTTGAGTGGCTTATAGATCCAATGCAATCTGGTTTTATTAAAAACAGATTTTTACTTGATGGTGTAGCTGCAGCTCAAGAAATTATAGATGACTGTTTTCAGAATAACAAAAAGGGAGGTATTTTACTTAAATTGGACTTTGCAAAAGCTTATGATATGATAGACTGGAACTTCATTTTGGAAGTGTTGAGAACTAAAAAATTTGGTGAAAAATGGATTAATTGGGTGAATATGTGCTTATATAAAGGCATGTCAGCTATCAAAATCAATGACAAACCTGGGAAATGGATTATGTCCAAAAGAGGTGTTAGGCAAGGAGACCCTCTTTCTCCTTTGTTATTTGTGTTGGCTGCTGATACATTTACTAGAATGTTATCTTTAGCAGTTGAATCTCAACTCTTTGAAGGATTAGGTCCAATTAATATAGATTACAAGGTTTTCTGTTTACAGTATGCAGATGATACCTTGATTTTTTGCAAGAATAACAAAGAGCAATTAACAGTTTTGAAGCTGATTTTATATTGCTTTGAACTTGCTTCAGGTTTAAAAATAAATTTTAATAAGAGTGTTCTTATAGCTCTTGAGAATAATGAAGATTTGCAACAGAATCTGGCCACCATGTTGAATTGTAAATGTGAAAAATTTCCTATTACTTATCTAGGTGTGCCTTTAAGGCCTGGAAAATTAAAAAAAGATGATTGGTCTCCTTTAATTGAGAAAATAGAAAGAAGATTAGCATTATGGAAAGGGAAGACATTATCAAGAGGAGGTAGACTAGTTTTAGTTAACTCTGTTCTTTCCTCTATGCCACTTTTTTGGCTTTCTTTCTTCTTATTCCCTTCTTGGATCATTGAGAAAATTGATAAATTGAGAAGAAGATTTCTATGGACTGGATCTTTGGATCATAAAGGTTTTACTAATTTGGTAAAATGGGAAGAGGTTTGTAAACCTAAGATCTTTGGATCATAAAGGTTTTACTAATTTGGTAAAATGGGAAGAGGTTTGTAAACCTAAGCACTGTGGTGGATTGGGGATTATCAATTTGAGAATAATGAATAAAGCTTTGTTAGGAAAATGGATTTGGAAATGGTTTGATGGAAAACCTAATTTGTGGAAACAAATTAGTTTTTACAAATACTTTGAAAAAAAATGGTCTGAGTACTTTTACTCTAGAAGAGTTTGTTTATCTCATTTTTGGAGGAATTTTTTTACTAATGTGGAAAGCTTTCTATGCAGTTCTCAAGTGGAGGTTGGAGAAGGAAATCAAACTTTATTTTGGCTTGATAAATGGTTAGATTCACATACTCTTGCAGCTATATATCCATCCTTATATGCTAACACAGCTTATCCTTTTGCTACTGTGAGTAATATGAGGAAAAAAGAAAATGGTGTTTGGAGTTGGGATTTGCAATTTAAAAGACAACTAACTGGGACTTTAGTGTCACAGTATCTTTCTTTAATGAATCTTCTTAATCCCATATGTTTAGAGCAAAAAGAGGATAAAAGAAATTGGTTATGGGAATCGAAAGGGGGTTTCACAGTGCATTCATATTACCTTTTTCTAATTGATGGAGGACTGATGTATGATTGTGCAGATATATGGAAGTTACCTATTCCTTTGAAAGTGAAATTCTTAGTCTGGTTGGCTTTCAGACATGGTTTAAACACAAAAGATGTGCTGGAGAAAAAAGGAATACATTTAGAAAAAATATGTTGTTTATGTTCAAAGCTGGAAGAAAGTCATACACATTTATTCATTAAGTGTGAGTTTGTTTGCTCTATATGGAGATCAATTCAATACAAATTGAAGATTGAAGATGATTCTGGTTGGAATTCTCTGAAAGAGATGTGGCACAATTTGAAAGCAGGAGAGATTGATGATGGCAAAATGAGAAGAGATGTCTTCATTTGTTCTTTTATTTGGTGTGTATGGCAGGAACGAAATGATAGGCTCTTTTCTAACAAAAGGAAAAGATCTCTTGAGCTTTTGAACAAAATTATGACATTTTCGTCATTTTGGCTAGGTTCTAAAAATATTTCTGCTCGAGCTATCAGATTGCAAGAAAGGAGAAGGAAAAGGAATGCGGATAGATTGCTTGCTGTGGGTGCAGATAACAGAGAGAACAGAGCTATGGGAGATGAGGTGATCCAGTTAGAATGATCTACACTCAAATCAGGTTTTGGCTTTGTTTTGAAGGTGGCTGGTGGTTGTGTTTTAAAATTTTGTTTAGCTATGAAACTCTTAGCAGCTGGTTTTTTGTTTTGGTCTTCTCTGTGTGGGAGAGACCTTTGGGGCTATTCAGTGTTGTGCTGGGTTATACTTTTGTTGTGTAATCTTGACTTTAAACATTAATATGCACTCTTGGTTGGGGGTGTATATTTTTCTATTGTAACAACCTTTTTTTGTTAATTTAGCTGGCTGGATTATCTTTGTGATAATCCATCATTTCTCTCAAAAAAAAAATCTGTGATTGACTGATTTCAGCCGTTTATATGATATATGTCGTATATCACCTAAGATCAACATAACAAGTAAGATCAAGATTAGTCATTGAGCTGCCTCCCAAATGTCAAAGTGAGCTATCTCTTTGTTATTCGTATCTGTCGAGCGTCACATGACATCAATTTGCTGCATACACATCATTCTTCTTTTATAGATGTTAAAAATGTACACTCCCTATTGCATAGATATAGATGATAATGAAAAGATTTATTTGTAAATGGCTATCCCTTCAAAGCAGTATCTGCAACTAATTCTAATATACAAGATCATGAGTTAAATGAACTCATCAAAAACTATCCCCATCTCCAACACTCAAATCATCAAAACACAAACAAACAAGTAACCAACCAATCCATTAACGAACTAAAAAACAGGGTAAAATCTAGCACCCGTACTTGGATCTCTACCCCACATTGACCTAAACAACTTGAGCAATCCCCTCGCCTTTGCCTTACCTTTACACCCACACTGGCTCTGCAGCAACAGCAAAACCTGACTCATAACTCCGGCTTCCACCGCCTCGGCCCTCGCCTTCGCCGACTCTCTACAAACCACCATCAGCGCGCCGATCGCGTGCTCGCTCCCTCCGCTCTCCGACGAAACCCTGAACACTGACTTCACCAGAACTCTAACTCCATTGCAGCTCTTGATCAATGCCCTTTTGCCAGGCTCAGTGTTCGCTAGAGTCTCCAATGTGGCCAGTGCAATTGAACTGTTCTTTGTGGATGAGTTCATCAAGTACGAGATAAGCCCATCAATTGCTCCTCCTTGTATTGCATTGAATATGTTTGCTTCTACTGAGCAAATGCCTGATAAAGCTCGAACCGCTGGTTCCGAGCAACGGTGAACGAGAGAGAGAACAATTTGCAGGACTCTCGGGGATTTCCCGAGAACTTGACAGAGTTCTCGTGTTGCGTCTGATGTTGTGATTGTTTCTATTAGGTAACATAAACTTGTTTTGATCTTCACATTTCCTTGGTCTAATAGTAGCAAGAGTGAGGTTAAGTTGGCCTCTTTCTTGAGCATATTGAGAGAATCCAATTGTGCTGAATGCAATAAGCTTGTAACACAATCTAAGCCTACTTCAGAAAACTCTGAGCTTGAACTCTGAAATACCAACTGAAGCAAGAGAGGGAAGAAACCCAACTGAATCAAGCAGGCATTGCCGATATCGGATTCGACAGCGAGAATTCTTACCTTCTTCAGTATCTGAAACTTTGTATCAATATCTGTAACATGGGACTGTAGACTATGTTTCAAGCTGGTTAAGGAGAGTGCAGTGCCTGTACCTGTGGCCTGAGCCAGAATGTTGGGTTCGGGTCTAAACTCATACGGGTCCGAGCCAGAGAGCAGCCAGCGATCGATGAGGTGCCGGAGGGTCCGGTTGGGGACCAAACCCGTGTCGGTTAGTCTCTGCATTGTGACCGGACACGTATCATTTCCAGCAGCGAGCCATTTCTCGATGCTCGGCCTGTCGTAGGTCTGGCCGGTGCTCAAGGTCACCGGATCAGTGAACAGGTCTAGACTAATTGGGCACCTGAACAAGTGAGGGATGCTCATTTGGAATAGGATTATAGATACAAAATTTGAACGAGTGAAGGTTGTTCATGGGCTTATATAAGAAGAAGTTTGATTATGATGATTTCAAATCAAGGGTCAGACGGGGAGAGGTGAGGCCAAGTCTCGTGTAAGTGGCTGCTGAAGGGTCAGAGGAAAAGGGCAAATGTACTCAAAGAGACCAGAGTTTAGCATGGAAATAGGTGGAGAGCGAGACTAGGACAGAAAAAGGTTGGAAGTTCAAGAGGGAGGTTGAAAGGTATTGGGCTTTGAAGTCACTGGATATGTGGGAAAGTGAACATGGTAATGAGATGGAATCATATGACACCAAAAGAGGAGACAAGGCATGAGAGATGATAAAAGATGCCATGCTTGATTATATTATTGGATAGAGGAATAACCATTCCAAAATATACAAACTGTATGCATATTTGTATGTAAGTACGTATGTGTGTGGGGGTTTTTTTTAATATGGTTACAAGGTAGCAATTCATCTTGGTAAATAAACTATCAACAGATAAATGACTATGAGACTCATTTAAACCATATCATTTAAATTTTTTAATCATATGTGCAAAATGGACGTCTATTAAGCTGTCTGAAAAATTAACATTTAAACTAGATTTATTCCTGTTCTAGAAGATATCAAACTTTATGAAAATTTTATCATATATATTTGATGGTGTTTTGAGTGTATGGTGCTGATTTTGAATTTGATGAACCGATTAATCTAGCTCACAATAAGGTTTAAGCTCATCAACTCACAATATCATCACACACTCTCTCTCTATGCGCGCGTGCGTGTGTGTGTATATATATATAATATATATATATGAGATTAATGAGTATCCTTGTTATAGGAGGGAATTTCCTCCTTGACGCCTATGTGGCACAATCCTCACCATCCTCATAAAGTAGGAGAGAGTGTGTGAGTTAGTGAGCATTTGTGCCTACTTTATGAGGATGGTGGACATTGTACTGTTGGAGGCAACATGCTTGTGGGGACCACACGGTTTTAGCAGGAAACCACGTGAATGAAGGTGGACGGGTTTTTTCTTTTCCGCGTGAAGAAATGCGCGTGGGGGCCACCTCTTCTTTGTGAACGCGTTTTCTTATCACGAGACGAGTTTTGTTTTCGCCACATGAAGAGCCCACGACCCGAGATGCCGCTGCCCGCAAATTAAATTATAAATAGGATTGATTTTTAGGTTTTCCGTGTGCGGAGGCAGGGGGGAGAAAGAGAAAAAGGCGGCTGTGGATTTTTTTTTTCTTGGGCTTCGTGCAGAGGAGAAAAATTCTGTTTGGTGGTTGTTTTTGTGAGAGATTGGAGAGTTAGTTTGAGGGTTTATTTTGTGAGATTTTAAACCTATTGTATTTTCTCTCTAATAGTAGATCTCCCCTTCCTTGCCCCGTGGACGTAGGCAGTTTGTCGAACCACGTAAAATTAATTTGTTTGAGTTTGTGACCATTGTAATAGTTATTAGGATCCCTCGACACGCAGTCCTAGAGCTGACGAGAGGAAGAGCTAATATCCCACTTTGATGGGATATTAGGCTTCAGATTCTTGTTCCCTTTGAGAAACAAGAATTCTTATAGATCTTTCTCTCTTATTGTGCACCAGAAACTCTGCCGAAATTTCCGCTGCGCTCAACAAGTGGTATCAGAGCTCGGGCTACGCTTGGGCTATTTGGAGGAGTAGATCAATTTGGAGGCTCGCTCAGGGCTTCGTTTGGTGATAAAGGTGTGATCTTTTGATAAAGACTCTATCTTTTCAGTTTTGGATCTATTCTTTGTTCGTTGGTGCGCAAGATGTCGGGGAAAGAAGGTGCTTCGGGTGTCGAGGGTGGTTCTTCTGGCGCGAAGACCATTCAGAGTTTGAATATCCACTCTATGAAGATAGATATGGAGAAATTTAATGGCACAAATAATTTTGGATTATGGAGATGTGAGGTTTTGGATGCGCTGAACGCGCAGAATTTGGAGGATACTTTGGAGTTAGATGGCAAGCCAAATGAGATTGAAGAAAAGGTTTGGAAGAAGATGAATCGAACGGCGTGTGGTGTGATTAGATCTTGTTTGACTCAAGATCTAAAATATGATGTGATGAATGAAACTTCTGCAAAGAAGATTTGGGAGATTCTCGAAAGCAAATATCTGACAAAGAGTGTTGAGAACCGCTTGCATTTGAAGATGAGACTTTATCGTTTCCAGTTGAAGAAGGGAACCTCCATTAGAGATCACATGAACCACTACACTAAGCTTCTTGCGGATTTGGCGAATATGGATGTCAAGATTGAAGATGAGGACAAGGCGTTGTTGTTGTTGAGTTCCTTGCCCGACGAGGAATATGAGACCTTCGTCCTTACTCTGATTAATGGGAAGGCATCTCTTTCGTATAGTGAGGTCACTGCTGCATTGGTGAATTATCATCTTCGGAAGAAGGATAAGGAGACTTCGACTGAATCGGTAGCAGAGGCGTTGGTCGCAAGAGGGAAGGGTCCAAACCGAAAGAATTGGAAGTCACAGTCTAGAGTAGGAAAAGATCAGTGTGCTTGGTGCAAGGAGACTGGTCATTGGAAGAAAGACTGCCCAAAGCTCGATGAATGGATGAAGAATAAGCAGAAGGGAAAAGGGAAGCAACCATCATCAGAAGCAAACATCGTATCGGATGGTAATAATTCTGACTCTTCTATTTATTCGCTTTCTATCAGTCCTATAGATAGCTATTCGGAGGAATCTGAATAGATATTGGATAGTGGTGCGACCTATCATGTGTGCCCTAGAAGGGAATGGTTCTCCAGTTTTGAGAAGCTGGTGGATAGTGGTGTGGTGTACATGGCTGATAACCGTGCATGCCAGATCCTAGGGATAGGAAGAATTCGCATCAAAATGTTTGACGGGACTGTTAGGGAGTTAAATGATGTGAGATATGTTCCTTCTTTGAAGAAGAACTTGATCTCAATTAGAGCTTTGGTTGGAGAGGGTCTGAAGGTTCGTGTTGAGGACATGGTTCTCGAGATTGCGAGAGACTCTCGTATTTTGATGAAGGGCGTCAGGAGGAATAACCTGTATTACTTGACTGGAGGTATAGTGGCAGGTGGAGAACTGGCGACTTCTGTTGATTCGACTAGACTGCGGCATTTGGAGCTTGGCCATTCCAGTATTGATTCCTCGCATAGATTGAAAGAGGGTGTAAAGACCTACAATTTAAAGTCCAGTGAAAATGTTGATGTGAGCAAGAAGACCGAGGTGAAGTTTGACACCTCTATTCACCGAGTTAAGGGTCGTTCTGGAGGAGTTCACGTGGATGTTTGGTGGCCTTCCAAGGGGGCATCATTGGGAGGTAATAGAAGTTTGGTTTCCTTTGTTGGTGGCTGTTCTAGGCTTGGTGACTGTTCTAGGCGTGTTTGGGTTGCAACCAAATCCCCTTTGGAGAAAGTCCTAGTAGTTTCCAACAGATTGAAGAAGTGTGTAATAGACAGAAAGGTGAAGGTACTCCATTTTGGTGGGTGGTACAAGATGGACCTGTTTCTTCATTGAAGCCGAGCTCACGACATTTTGAGACACTTCGTTGGAAAGGAAATCTTGGGGCAACTAGATAGGGTGAAAAATTTGGTGAACTGTGTCTTGCTGGAGGGGGAACGGTGTTGGTGGTCGAGCAATGGTCTGCAGAAGAGTTTCTGGACAGAGGCTTCGACATATTTGAGTCATCCTATTGAAGAGTTGTCAACTGCTGTGATTGGAGGTAAAACTTCATTGGAAGATAGGTCTGGTAATATCACTTTGGTTGAGGCTTCGATGAGGAAGCCAATTGACTCTCAGCAGGTGGAGAGTTTTGGACAGACCTTATAGGTATCGCAGCGGGTGGAGATTGATGCTACTCCACATTGGGTGAAGATTACTCCAGATCATACTGCATTGTTTAGGATTCCAGCTGAGGTGACACGGCTTGGAGATCATTTGGTTTTGGATGCAGATGATGAGTTGATAGATTCGAATGCAGCTGGTAGACGTAGTGTGGATACGACCATTGGTTCACCTCAGGTGGAGGTGTTTGAGGCCATTGGAGGTGCTATCAGCCGCAGAGTTGATGATATTAGAGAAGGGTTGCAAAATCTTCTATTGGATTGAGGTCGTTCGCGACCATTTGGGTGAACTACGTTAGGCTTGATTCCTTGGGCAAGAGGATACGTAGGCAGTCTTTACGATGCAGGGTGAGATCGATTTGGTGAGTTGATACTGACATTTGGAGAGTGTTTGCATTCTCATTTGGGTTCTCGACTTGTTATGGATTGAGTCTGTTGTCGTGAATTGTTTCATGGTGTACTGGACACAACAAGTGAGACATTTGGTTTGGTTGGTGTCGGCTCAGTTTTGGAAAAACTTTACCGAAGTAGAGAATTGTTGGAGGCAACATGCTTGTGAGGACCACACGGTTTTAGCAGGAAACCACGTGAATGAAGGTGGACGGATTTTTTCTTTTCCGCGTGAAGAAATGCGCGTGGGGGCCACCTCTTCTTTGTGAACGTGTTTTCTTATCACGAGACAAGTTTTGTTTTCGCCACATGAAGAGCCCACGACCCGAGATGCCGCTGCCCGCAAATTAAATTATAAATAGGATTGATTTCTAGGTTTTCCGTGTTCGGAGGCAGAGGGGAGAAAGAGAAAAAGGCGGCTGTGGATTTTTTTTTTCTTGGGCTTCGTGCAGAGGAGAAAAATTCTGTTTGGTGGCTGTTTTTGTGAGAGATTAGAGAGTTAGTTTGAGGGTTTATTTTGTGAGATTGTAAACCTATTGTATTTTCTCTCTAATAGTAGATCTCCCCTTCCTTGCCCTGTGGACGTAGGTAGTTTGCCGAACCACGTAAAATTGATTTGTTTGAGTTTGTGGCCATTGTAATAGTTATTAGGATCCCTCGACGCGCAGTCCTAGAGCTGACGAGAGGAAGAGCTAATATCCCACTTTGATGGGATATTAGGCTTCAGATTCTTATTCCCTTTGAGAAACAAGAATTCTTATAGATCTTTCTCTCTTATTGTGCACCAGAAACTCTGCCGAAATTTCCGTTGCGCTCAACATGTGCCACATAAGCGACAAGGAGGAAAATTTTCTCCTATGACAAGGATACTCATTAATCTCCTTGTCGCCTATATATGTTTAAAGGGGAACTACTTTGTCCATTGATAACATTGGGCTCTCCCGTAAGAATAAAGTAGGTGGCTTAGGATGCATTAATGTAGAGAGGCACAGCAAGCCATGTTTATTTATG